AACTGTGTTGCAATAAACATTGATGTGTCTGTGTCTGTATAGTATGCTGTTTTTAAGTCCTTTGGGTATAGACTGAGGAGTGGGATAGCTGGGTCAAAAGGTGGTTTCATTCCCAGTTTTCCAAGGAATTTCTCTACTGCTTTCCATATTGGCTGCACCATTTGCGGTCCCACCAGCAATGTATGAGTGTGCCTTTTCCCCCACATCCTTGTTAACAATTACTGTTGTTTGTATTCTTAATAGCTACCATTCTGACTGGAGTGAGATGAACTCTTAGAGTAGTTTTGATTTGCATTTCTCTAATTGCTAGAGATGTTGAACATTTTTTCATATATTTGTTGACTGATTGTATATCACCTTCTGAGAAGTGTCTGTTCAGTTCCTTGGCCCATTTATTGATTGGGTTATTTGTTTTTTTGGTGCTTAGCTTTTTGAGTTCTTTATATACCCTAAAGATAAGTGCTCTATCTGATGTGAAAGTGGTAAAAATTTGCTCCCAAGCTGTAGGCTCTCTATTCACCTCACTGATCCATCCAATTTATTAATTCTTGATTTTAATTCTTGTGCTATAAGAGTGTTATTAAGGAAGTTGGGGCYTAATCCAACATGATGGAGATTTGGGCCTACTTTTTCTTCTAATAGACCTGCACAAGTGTCTCTGGTTTGATGACTAGGTCCTTGAATCACTTTGGGTTGAGTTTTGTACAGGTGAGAGAAAGGGATTTAATTTCTTTTTGTTGCATATGGATTTCCAGTTTTCCCAGTACCATATCTTTTCTACAATGTATGTTTTTGGCACCTTTGTCTAATGCAAGATAACTGTAATTATATATGGGTTAGTCTCTGTGTCCTCTATTCTGTACCATTGGTCTACCAGTCTATTTGGGTGCCAATACCATGCTATTTTTGTTAGTATTGCTCTTTAGTATAGTTTAAGGTCTGGTATGGTGATGCCACCTGATTCACTCTTCTTGCTAAGGATTGCTTTAGGTATTCTGGGTCTTTTATTTTTCCAGATGAATTTTATGACTGCTTTTTCTATTCTATGAGGAATTTCATTGGGATTTTGATTATAATTGCATTATAATGCTGTATGATGCTTTTGGCAGCATGGTCATTTGGACAATACTAAGTCTACCTATCCAAGAACAAGGGAGATCATTCCATCTTCTAAGGTCATCTTTAATTTCTTTCCTAAGCATTCTGTAGTTTTTTTTGTAGAGGTCTTTCACCTCTTTTGTTAGGTTGATTCCCAATTATTCTATTTTTTGAGGCTATTATAAATAGGGTAGTTTTCCTCATTTCCCTTTCAGATCATTTGTCACTGATTTACAGAGATGCCTTTGATTTATGAGTGTTGATTTTATATCCTGCTACTTTGCTGAATTCATTTACTAGTTCTAGAAGTTTTCTGGTGGGATCTATATCTTATAGATATAGAATCATATCGTCGACAAATAGTGCTAATTTGAGTTCTACTTTACCTATTCATATCCCTTTAATTTCTTTTGTCTAATTGCTCTGGACAGTGTTTCAAGAACTATTTTAGATAGAAGTGTTGAAACAGGGCATCCCTGTCTTGTTCTGGTTTTTAGAGGGAATGCCTTCAATTTTTCTCCATTTAGAATGATATTGGCCTGGGGCTTAGCATAGATAGCCTTTACAATGTTGGGATTGTTCTGTTGTACCTAATTTTTCTAGTGTTTTGAACATGAAGGGTGCTGTATTTTGTCAAATGCTTTTTCTGCATCTTATTGAGATGATCATATAATTCTTATCTTTAAGTCTATTGATGTGATGAATTTACRTTTATTGATTTCTGTATGTTGAACCAACCTTGCATCCCTAGGATGAATCCCACTTGATCATGGTGCACTATCTTTTTGATATGTTTTTGTATTCGATTTGCCAGAATTTTATTGAGGATTTTTGCATCTATGTTCATTAGAGATATTGGTCTGAAATTTTCTTTCTTTGATGTGTCTTTGCCTGGTTTTGGAATCAGGCTGATATTGGCCTTATAGAATGAGTTTGGAAGTGTTCCCTCTTTTCCTATTTCCTGAAATAAATTGAAGAGTATTGGTATTAGTTCTTCTTTAAAGGTCTTGTAGAACTCTGCTGTGTAGCCGTCCAGTCCTGGGCTATTCTTGTTTGGTATCTTGTATTTCGTCACTTGAAATCGATCTGTTTAAATTGTGTATATCATCCTGATTCAATTTGGGCAAATCATGTGACTGTAGAAATTTGTTGATGACTTTGATATTTTCTATTTTATTGGACTACAATTTTTCAAAATAATTTCTAATTATCTTCTGTATTTCTGTAGTGTCTGTGGTGATATTTCCTTTTTCATCACTGTATGTTAGTAACTTGAGTTTTCTCACTCCTTCTCTTTGTTAGCATGGCTAAGGGTCTGTCAATTTCATTTATTTTTTCAAAGAACCAACTTTTGTTTTGTCAGTTTTTTCAGTTGTTACTTTTTTTTTTCAATTTCATGGATTCCTGCTCTGATTTAATTATTTCCTGACTTCCATGAAATGAACTTTCCTCTTAGTGTCCTTCTTAGTGCCTTCTTAGTGTCCCAGAGAGTTCGATACATTATATCTGTGTTCTCATTCACCTCTAAGAATTTTTAATCTGCTCCTTGATGTCTTTAGCAACCCATTGTTCATTCAGTATATTATTTAGTCTCCAGGTGTTGGAGTAGCTTTTATTTTTTATTTTATCATTTTTTTCTAATTTCATTCCATTATCATCTGATAGAATGCAGGGTAGTATCTCTACTTCTTTATATTTGCTAAGMGTTGCTTTGTGGCATAATATATGGTCTATTTTAGAGAAGGACCCATATGCTGCTGAGAAGAAAGTGTATTTGCTCATTGAAGGATGAAATATTCTATATATGTCAGTTAAGTCTAAGTTATTGATTGTATCATTGAGTTCTATAGTTTCTTTGTTCAGCTTTTGTTTGGATGATCAATCCAGTGGTGAAAGAGGTGTGTTAAAGTCACCCAGCATTATTGTGTTGTGCTCTCTTTAACTCTTGAATTTGGGAAGAGTTTGTTTGATGAACATAGACACTCCATTGTTTGGGGGCATATATATATGTATTATTGTTATGTCTTGTTGATGAATGGTTCCCTTAAGCAGTGTGAAATATCCTTCTTTATCCCTTTTGAGTAACTTTGGCTTGAAGTCTACTTTATTTGATATGAGGATGGAAAACCCTGCTTGCTTCTGCCGTCCATGGGAGTGTTATGATTTTTCCCAACCTTTCACCTTCAGTTTCTGAATGTCTCTTGGAGGTAGCATATTTTGGGGCCTTTTTAAAAAAAAAAAAAGTCTCATTTGCCAGTCTATGTCTTTTGATTGGTGAGTTTAGGTCATTAACATTCAGGGTTATTATTGAGTCATGATTTGTTTTCCCAGTCATTTTTATTTATTTTTGGTATTTAACTTGACTTGGTTTCTCCTTTGATTAGTTTTTCCTTTATTGTAATACCTCCCTGTGCTGATTTTCATTGCTGTTTTTCAATTCCTCATGGAATATTTTGCTGAGGATGTTCTGTAGTGCAGGCTTTCTAGTTGTAAATATTTTTAACTTTTGTTTATCAAGGAAGGATTTTGAGATCACTGAGAACTAAGATAAATACTTTGAAGGGTAACATGAAGAAAATATCTTAGTACTTGACCCATTTAGTTTTGGTTCTTTTTATTATGCAGACAGTGGGTAGTCTTCTCCTTAGACTGTGAGCTATAGCTTATATTAGACACATATGAGGCCCTGGGTTCGATCCTCAACACCACATAAAAATAAATAAAATAAAGGTATGTGTCCAACTACAACATACATACATATATATATATATATATATATATATATATATAGTCACTCAGTCTTCCATTATAGTATATTTTCACTCTTAATTTGATCTGGAGGGCTCTTGGGTTTGTCCTATAAGTTCTCTTTTCTAAGTAACCTTATCTACTTACAAATTTACACATGTAAGCATTGAATTTTCCACTGTCTGGCTCCATTGCTTGTTTTAATTTTATCTCACATATTCGTTTTGAAGTATTTGCAAAAGTATGTTTGCACACAGAGAAATACACAAGATCCTGAGTTTGTGTGGTAGCGCATTGTGCCTTCCCGTTTTCCATTAATGTATGAATCTATTTATGTGCAACAGTCCATGAGTTTTGTGTACAAATTTGTGTTTTACTTTGAATTCACTGCTGTAACACCAATGTAACCCACATTTAATCCTTTAAGAATGGGGAAAAATAAACAGTGAAATCAACAAGTAGCAAAGAGATGATGAAATCTTCCCAAGAAAGTTGAGATTGATATGCAGGTGACATGTTATTATTTAAAGTTTGTCTTTTAATAGATTCAGAAGCTGCCTAGATCTTTAATTCCTTAGAATCTTTAACATTAATATTTTTTCTGATAATAAAATGAGCATGGACCTGGGGATGTGGCTCAAGCGGTAACACGCTCGCCTGGCATGTGTGCGGCCCGGGTTCGATCCTCAGCACCACATACAAACAAAGATGTTGTGTCCGCCGAAAACTAAAAAATAAATATTAAAAAAATTCTGTCTCTCTCTCTCTCTCTCTCTCTCTTTAATAAATAAATAAATAAATAAATAAAATGAGTATGATTTGTTTTCAGCATTTTTATTACTAAAAATTTGAAAGCATAATACGCAGAAGACAAATGGATTTTTCGCTCCCTAAAGATTATGGCTGATAAAAAGATATTTGCTACAGAATTAAATAAGACTTAAAAGAGAGATATAATTAGAAAAAAGTTCCTTTGTTTCAAGTTCACATGCAAACATAGCTTTAGTGTACATGGAAATTTGGACAGTGTTAACTTTAGTGTTAACTCTGCCTTAGTTTCAATTGTAGTTATGATTCTTTTATGCCAGATTCTGAACTTTAATGGCAAAGTGCATTCAGCATTGTTTAAATTCATTTTTTGTCTGCCTTCCAGATGTATCATCGAATYCGGCACTCGGAGTGCATCTACCGGGTAACCATGGAAAAGCTGTCTTACCACAGCATTTGCACTGCTGAGGAGTGGCAAGGCCTCATGCGCTTCAACCTCCCTATGCGCCTCTGCAAAGAAATTGAGCTGTAAGTATTTCACTTGGTTAGTTTCTTCAGCAGCAGATTCTCAGTTCCATTGAAAAAAAGTAAACCAGGTTGTAGAGTTAGAATCACAGTTATGATGAATTAATCTAAATGCTAGCATGTATTATTACTCTGTTGCGTACTTTACACTATGTAATATTTAATGTTCAAAATGGCATTTAATGTCAGATACATAAAGTTTTCATCTACATAACTTTGCATTTTTATATTTATGAAATTCTTATTTAGGTTTAAAAAGGAGAACAATTTCAACTCCAACAATACTTTCAATAAAATTCCCCCCTATGCATTTTCTAGTATCAACAGTATAACTTTTGGTGCTTATTTATTTCTCTGATAACAACRGCAGCATCTTTTTTTTTAATGGTTCAATTTTTAATAAGTTCTTGACTAGTCAAAACTAATCTTTTTTTTTAATTTATAAAATTTGTTTTAATTAGTTATATATGACAGTAGAATGCATTTAAGCACTTTGATGTATCATACATAGATGTGGTATAATTTCTCATTTTTCTGATTGTACATGTTATAGAATTACATTGGTCCTGCAGTCATATATGTATATATATATATATATATATATGTATATAAAGTAGTAACATCTGTTTTGTTCTACTCTCTTAAAGAATTAGTAAAGCAGGTTTGAAATAAGACATTACTACAACAGCAGCATATTTTTTTAATGGATTGTTTAAAAGAAATAAAGCCAGAGATATATTAAGTTCCTAAGGAATATGTGGAATCTCCCAAAAACTTTCAGTTCCAGGCAGGAGTGACTGAGAAGTCAGAGAAATGATGGCCATGATCCTGGGGTCTTTTTGGTTTCTTGATAGAAAAAAACGTTTAAATGATTTTCTTTACTTTCTGTGTGCCCTGCTTGGTTTTAGTAATAAACTACCCATTTAATTTCAGGTTCCACTTTGACATTGGTCCTTTTGAAAGCATGTGGCCTGGGATCTTTGTCTACATGGTTCAYCGGTCCTGTGGGACGTCCTGGTATGAAGGCTCTGAATGCTCTCTGTGTACAGTCTGCAGTGACATGACTCCCTCCTTCCCTTGCTCATGCACCTCACCACTTTTTGTTTACAATCCTTTTCAATATGACATATATGAATTTGTTTCTAAATATTCAAGTTAAAATGGGCTGGTTTTGTTGGGCAAAGCGGCAGCCTTTTCAGATTTTCCATAATAACTGCTGTCCCCAGCAGTCTGAAGCCTGGTTCACAGCCATACATCTAAGAGGCGTCATAGAAACATGTTACAGGCTGTGTGGCTGAAGGAGGCAAAGCTTGCTTCTTGGCAGAATTACCTGCTTTAGAAGCTCTTAGAAGGCTCTGCATAAACAGAGCATCAACTATATATCTTATCAGTTTGTGTGTAAAATAAAAAGTCTCCACATTCAAAGTGTGATTCATCTCCAGTAATTACAGTTTGATCTCATTGCAAATCTCTACCTGTTTGGCCTGCCTGTTCTATGGGCCTTTGTGCCTTTAGCTCTGATCTTTTGCAGCTTAAATACACAAACTTAAAATGCAAGCATTAATTTTCTTTTGCACTTTTTGATTCATTTAGGCATAAATGCCTCACAGAGTCTCTCCCTCTCCTTTGCCTCCCCCATCTACCCCCTCTCTCTATATATGCAGTTTGTGAATATGAATATGTTTTTTTWAAAAAAATTGGTTCAATAAATCTTTGAGCAAGATGATGTTATATGATAGTCTTTTTGAGTACTGTGGGGCCTAGAAAATGCTGGTAAACATGAGGTGCGTGCATGGGGGTTAATGATGGAGACTGCATGCTGGTTCTGCTGCTTATCCCTAGTGGGACAGTTAATGTATCTGAACATAACCCATGAAAGAATCTCTTGCTTCATTTTGGCTGGAGAAAGAGGAGAGAAGAGATCATTTTCCAGTACTCATGGTTCAGCAGTCAATGTGGGAATCCTTGTAGTGCAGATGTGTAAGGAGTAGAAATGTGTAACTCAGCCAGAGGCTCTTTTGAAAATTAGTGGTTCTCTGCTGGCTTTGGTTTTAAGAGTTTCTTTTCCTCACAGCTTTGAGCTTGAAAAGTTGTGTCGTTTCATCATGTCTGTGAAGAAGAACTACCGACGGGTTCCTTACCACAACTGGAAGCATGCGGTCACAGTGGCACACTGCATGTATGCCATATTGCAGAACAATTATGGGCTCTTCACAGACCTCGAGGTGGGTGTGCACACCCTTGCCCCTTTCATGCCATCTCAGTGGATTCAGCGCAAATTGATAACATGCCATGGGGACCTGCTGTTACAGGACAAATTTTGTGTCAGTAAATTAGAAGCTGCACATTTTTTTAGATTCAGTACCCAAGAATTTAGCATATTCTTTTTTATAAGAAAGTAGATAAAGGAATTTCAACTTCACCAAAATATTCTTCAAGGAAACACTAATTTTGTAGGCTTTCTTTCTGATTGAATTTTAAATGTTTTGAAAGGATGTAAGCAAAGTGAATTCTATATGCCCTGGTTAATATGGACACATCTCACCAAATAGAGGATTCAGAACATTAAATACAGTGAAAACCATAAATTATTTTTTAATTTACTCTAGCATAAGGAAACAGATCTACCTAGTGTTATAAATGAGTTGGTAACCACTCAAAGCTTCCAAAATAGAATATTCAAGATTTCGAGACTTTCTTCCCCATTTAACCACTGTAGTCAAATTCCCTTATTGGAAAGCCCAGTTAAGCACTGAGCCCTCCTTGGCCCCAGAGATGCTGATCCCACAGCTAGATGACCTGAACCTCAAGAATGCCCCTCTGACCACACTTGTCCTGATGATGCCTACCAACACTCTGATCCAGTCCCCCTTTCTCCCCTCTGTAGACTGGTGTCACACTTCAGGTGACATCTGGTTGTGCAGAGGAGGAAAGCCATTACTTGAACTTCTTTTTGAGGTCACTTTCAAACTAGAAGCCAGTATTCCTGAGATCCAGCCTCTTCTTTTTCCACCCTTTCTGTCCAGATTCACAGTCTGCAGCAGTCTTGAAAGGTGGATTCCAGAAAGAGAAATGGCCATTTCAGAGAAGGAATCTAAATTATTCCTCTTTTTAAATTTTTTTTTAGTTGAAGCAGAGTTTAAACTAATAAATAATGTATTATTTATCACCTCTCAAGAAAAAGATCCAAATGAAATATGTTATTTTTCCACATTTAAACAATTTGCAATTCTACTGAAACCCCATTCTTTTGGGACTTTCAACATTTTCTCCATTTAATTCCTCTTAAGGAAGCAACTTCGTTGTTTCCTTTTGCCATAAGATATCTTAGTGAGTTTAAGAATTTTATAAATTACACTTTCAAATAGAGTAGCAATGAAATTTGTATTTTGAAGATTGAAAATTTAAAGGTAAATAAGAAAAATTTTATTGATGCCATATTCCTAAATTATTTCTGGAATTATATATTTTCATTTCCCCCAAACTCAGGACTTTTTGGCTAAAAATCATSCCAAATTTTTAAAATATTTTAAAAATATTTTAGAATATGTGATCTCTAGTAGGGCTATTAGAAATTATTTGATGTCAGTAAAGTAAAATGTTTTACAAAAATAATTCTTTGTAAGTCATTTTCAGATTTATGATTTTAGCATACTTTTTTTTTATAAAACTGTTAAAAGTTGTGCCAATAAAAAGTAATAAAAACCTTGGAAAGATAGGAATATAACAGGTTTCATCTATTGTGCTAGATTTTAAAACCTTAGAATTTTTACCAGATAAATTATGTGACTATAGCAGCATAAAATATGGAAACAATTCAAAACCAAAGTGATACTCAAAACCTTAACTGATTCTGTTACCTTAATACCCAGCATATGTGGTTGGTAAGATGACACTATATCTATTAAGGTGTGCAAGTGACTGGTGAGACTTCCTTTCCAGTCAAGCTGCAGGAGAAGGCAGTTGTATTATATCAAGGTAAAGAAGGAGCAGGATGTGAAAAGAAAAGTACACTTGGGAGAATGTCTGCTGACTCCCATGGTGACCTCCCAGAGTAGCACCTGCCCTCAGCAGGCCCCACCTGTGCAGTTCCACTCCAGCATACTCCATGACTCACCCTCTGTGAGAACACAACCCGTCTCCATTGCCATACCTTCCCTCTTTTGGATCATCCCATCTGTTAAAATTCATTTGGAAGAATAAAAGATGCAGAATAGCCAAAGCAGTTCCAAGCCAAAAAAGCATGCTGGAGGTATTAAAATACCTGACTTCAAATTATACTACAGAGCTACATTAACAAAAACTGCATGGTATTGGCATAAAAACAGATACATAGACCAATGATACAGAATAGAAAACAGAACACAGTCGTTTGATCCTCAACAAAGGTGCCCAAAACATACATAAGAGAAAAAACAACCTTTTAAACAAATGATGCAGGGGAAATTGGATTTCCATATGTAGAAGAATGAGACTAGACACATATTTCTCACCCTGCACCATAATAAACTGAAAATGAATCAAAGACCTAGGAATTGGACTAGAAATTATGCAGCATATAGACACAGGCAAGGACTTTCTCCATAGGACATTTCTCCCTAAAGCTCAGGAAACAATGCCAGGAGCTAATGAATGGGTTGGCATCAAATCTTAAAGCTTCACAGCACAGGAAACAATTAGGAATGTGAAGAGAGAACCCACAGATGGGAGAAAATCTTTGCCAGCTATTCTGACAGAGGATTCACATCTAGAATATATAAAGAACTCAAAAAACTTAACATCAAGAAATCAATTAACCCAGTTAATAAATGGGCAAGGAATTAAACAGATACTTTTTTAAAAAAAGAAATACAATAATTATGAAAACATGTTCAACACTATTAGCAACTGGGGAAATGCAAATTAAAACTACACTGAGATTTTATATTACACCTGTCAGACTGGCAGTTATAAAGATTACAAATAATAATAAATGCTGGAGAGGATGTGGAGAAAAAGAAACACTTTTACACTATTGGTGGGATTATAAATTAGTGCAACCTAAGGAAATCAGTATGCAGGTTACTCAAAAAACTAGGCACAGAACCACCATATGACCCAGCTTTACCACTTCTTCAGAAGGTTAAAGTCATCACAAGATAGTGATAAGTGCATATCCATGTTTATAGCAGTGCAATTCATAATAGCCMAGCTATGAAACCAGCCTAGGTGTCCCATCAATGGATGAATGGATAAAGACAACCTGATGTATATACACAATGGAGTTTTATTCAGCCGTAAAGAAAAATGAGGCTGGGTGTGGTGGTGCATGCCTGTAACCCAGTGGCTCTGGGAGGCTAAGGCAGGAGGATTGCAGGTTCAAAGCCAGCCTCATCAAAAGTGAGGCCTAAGCAACTCAGTGAGATCTTGTCTGTAAACAAATAAAAATCAGGGCTGGGGATGTGGCTTAGTGGTCAAGTGGTGCCCCTGAATTCAATCCCTAGTAGCAAAAAAAAAAAAAAAAAAAAAATTGTCATATGCAAGAAAGTGGATGGAACAAGAGACCTTTATGTTAGGTGAAGTAAGCCAGACTCAGAAGGTCCAAGGTTGTATGTTTTCTCTCAGATGTGGAAGCTAGAGAAGAAAAGGAAAAAGGGGGGAAGAATGTCATGAAAATCAAAGGTAGATTAGTGGAGGACAGGGACCAGGGGTGGGGGGAGCAGAAGTGATGGGGGAAGGATGAGGGCCAGGTCAGATTGCTGCATTGTGTGCAGGTAGAAATATTTGTAATAAAAAGTCCCATCCCGTGTACGACTGTAACRCACCAATAAAAATATGGAGAAAWTAAAAAATAAAGATTAGATGATGACACTGTTTTGCTAAAAGCCCCATAGTCATCCCCCGTCCCTTGGATAGGACTGTATCCTGTCTTCCCTCAGACCTCTCTCAGGAAGTGCTCTCCTGTTCCCTTCTGCTGTGCTCTTTCCTACACCTTCTTGCTTCTGACCACCTTCCTGAGGCCTGTTCTGGCTACTTTATTTAATATTCAGCCTCTCTTCCTTGATCCTCTATAGCCCTTTTAACGTTTTCTACATAATTTGCCATTTTTACAGGCCAAACGATAACTTATTATATTCATTGTTTATAATAGCAATAACATTGTTAGAATTTAGCATCAGATTGGTCTTGAATGAAAGAGAACTGAAGCTGCCCTCTCCTTGTGCAGATCTGCTTCATCCACGGTGCTTCAGAACACTTGATACCTCCTGCACTTGCTCTTAGAGCTGAGCAGGAAGACAAGAATAATTTGACTGTCAAGTTCATATGCAGAAAAACAAAGAGGTTAAGAGAAGTTTGATTCCCTGAAGTCTTAAATATTCCTAAGGGTGTTGAATATATTAAAGGCAGAAATAAATGTGAAAGTGAGCTGCAGGTGTTCTCCTGTCTCATTTATTTGTTTTGAATATCTCTGCCTTATTTTTTTAAGCGTAAAGGACTGCTGATCGCCTGTCTGTGTCATGACCTGGACCACAGGGGCTTCAGTAACAGCTACCTGCAGAAGTTTGACCACCCACTGGCAGCTCTCTACTCCACCTCTACCATGGAGCAGCACCACTTCTCCCAGACAGTGTCCATCCTGCAGGTGAGCCCTGCCCACTGGGCCCATGCCCAGGGCCTCTTGGGAGGTGCTGATGCTTCCTAGGTGAGACGGGAATGTTGTTAGGCCTACTGGGAAACAGCAGTTTCATTTTATTGTGGTATCTTATATTTATAGTCATAACTAAATGATTATGTGGATCTTTTGAATAAAAAAAAACCCTTGACAAAGATGTTGAATATATATATTTTGCAATTACATTTGTTTTCCACAGGTTATATTAATAATATATGATCTCCAAAAGCAAATTTTATTTTACATAGTTTAATTATATGGATTATCATATTCTTGAAACCAGAATGTATTCAGCATCTTAAAAGTTAGGTAAATTCAAGGTTTTTAAGTGCATTGAATTCCTTTTATCTTTTCTTGCATGTGGGTTTTTATTTTATTGCTTTTAAGATGTTTCTGGTGATTGCTCTAGTTGATGGTAGAACTCGTTTCAGTAAAACTTGTTATGCTCCTTCTTTCTTAAACCTTTTTTCTCAGCCTCAGCGTAACAAGGTAGCTGTTGTGTCAAAATGGTTTGAATCCTATCAAAGAGAGAGTTTTTAAATTATGAGCTGTGTTGGTTTAAGGACGGTGGACCCTATATTTCCCTCCTACTGCCAGCACCTAACGAAGGAAAAGGAATCTGTATGGGTGTTCTGGGTGGTGTGTCTACAGGAAGTCTTGAGTCTCCAGAGGCATCTGGAGAAGTGCCAGCAGTGACTCTAGCGGTAGCTGTCCATGGACAGAGGGCAAACAGAAAGGCTTTTTCCACTTGGCGCAGTTTTTTGCTTCCCTCTGGACAGCCCGGTATCACTTTCTCCCTTCAGCTTCTCTAAGGCTTCTCTAGTGCTCCTCATTTGGCCTGTGTGCCCAAAGGGTTGGTAGTACTGCATGCTCAAACCTTAAAACCCGACTAAACTTAGCTGTCTAGGCACTGAGAAGGTAAGTGATGAAATTCCTGATGTGCAACTGCTACTCTGATTTCCGGCTGGGTAAAAAGCGAAAGAGGTGTTAGATATGGAGTGTTAGATATTTTAGTTCTTTTCAATCTATAACCCCTAGTAGCAGAGTGGCTGATGATGCACTTGTTTATAGATGAGTTCTGCCCCTGAGAGCTGTATGTGAGCATTAGTCCTTTCTTTTATAAATGATGTATATTTGAATAGATGCATGCATACATGCAGCATACTTAGAAATTTAATGAGGATAGAAGGTGTGTTTAGAAATATATATAAGTCACGCTTTTTGTAAGTAGGTGAACATTGTAGAACTTCATCGAAGTTATATTTACTTTGACTTCACTCACTCATTATTTGAAGGTATGTATTTGTACAACTAGAAGGATGGATTCTGGAAATGACATCAGTATGCCTTCAGTTAGAACTCACTGAATTCACATCTCATATCCTAAGAAAATTCATATGTTTGATGATGGCAGTGCTTCTAGTAGTTTAAGCTGCAAATGAATTTTAATAGATTTCATAATATTCCTTTAGAAAGCCTATTTTAATATAATAGAATTATCTTTGAAGTAGGCCAGCATTAAAAAGCAGATTGCCACTAGGATAGACTAAAACTAATCCTGTGATTCAGAAGCTGTGTGGAGCAGCCAGACCCCCTGAGCTACTACTGTCACAAATGACTGTGGGTCTAGCTGGAACTATCCATCTGCATAGCCAGATAAAAAAGATACCCAGTTCAGTGTACTGCATCGTGTTGGGAAATGGTTCCCGTTTGGGCACCCACAGGGCTCTGTGAGTGCTGATTTCCATTTTGGCTCCCAGTGTCACCTGCTGGGTAGTCTGGGCAAGCAGAAGGATACTACTGGCCACCTCAGCAGCAGCAATAAGCAGGCAGTTGTCAAATGCATCTTAAAACTACCCTTCTGACTCACTAGTACACACAGCTCTCGGGTGGGCAGGCAGAGAAAAGGAGAGTACAACTGTCAGAGTGAGAAGGGTGCAGTGGACGAGGTATGAGGTARGTCATGATAAGGAGACGTGTAAAGCACAGAGAGAAGGGCAGACCACATTCTCGGCTCTCACTGAGCTTCCTGTTCTCTGCTGGTTCTCCTGTGAGTGAGCCTGCCACTCTGAGGACACAGTGGACGTTCTGAAGTCAGAAGTTCCTGCTCAGTCCTCAGTGAATGCCAGGGCCCCTCTGGCCACTGCAGCTTCCTGAGGGCCTGTCCCCACCTTTCCTACTCGACCCCCCATTCCAGTCTCATGCTCTTCTGTTCTACTGCCTTTCCCTACCTACCATTATTTCTCCAGGCCTGTCCCTCAAACCTATCCTCCAAATCCATGCCTGAGGTGGTATTCTCCTGTGACAGTGTCATCAGTGGCTCTCTAAAGCTTTAGGAATGAATTCCCGGTTTTAGAATTGATATATAAATCTTTTATGAATGGCCTCTGCTGTGGCAGGACCATGGTATCTGCCAGACGCCTGTGCTGCTCTCCTCCCTCTTTCTGGAACCAGCTTCTTATTTTTTAGGTTCAGGCTGTGCTTTAATTTCTCTGGTGATATATATCATTTATGGAATTCCCATAGAGCAGGGCACAGCATTATGCCCCTTTTCCATGCCCCTGGGTGTCTCAAACATATGTATGACTTAGTTTTTTTTTTTTTTTTAATTCTGTATTGAAATTTTCTGTTATAAGCATAGCTTTCTAATTCCTTTGAATTTTTGTAAATTGGTGAAGACAGTGGGTGCCCTTTGCTCGTGTCTATACCAAGCTCTGGGTCTGTCCTTCTGTGCAGAGATGGGGTTGTGAAGGTACAGTGTGGGTTAGGGGGAGCAGAGTGGGCAGGACAACTGGGCAAATCTTGGACCGTAGAAACTCCAGGTCTCATGTAGGAGAAGGAAGTGGCTATGTCCCCCAGGGGAAAGGGCTCTCATAGTGGCCCAGGAGCAGAAGGCCAGTGAGGTACCTCCCAGCGAGATTATTCTGTGTGGCCATCAACATCCAAGGAAGCAGGTGACTTTGTATTCTTACCTATAATGTTTGTATTTTAACCCTTGTGAGAGAAGCATTATTATTGCTGTATTAAATCAGTTTATTCTATTTTCTAATGAGATGTTACTGATCATTTTGAATATTGAAACTATCCACTTTCTATCCTTTGTCCTCTGAAAATACTCTGTTAAGTTCTCAAAAGTCAAGTTTTAGAAACTGAACTAATTAGGAATATTTAGTCTCATTATAAGACAGTATTCTTATTGATCTTCAATTATCTAATGATTTTGAAACATGATAAAATTTCAGAAAGTTATCTATGTGTATTTTGGGATCCCATKACTTTTTCATTACGTTTTATAGCAATAATATTTATGAATATCAGCTAGAGTCTTCCAATTCATTCCATTCATAGAATTTACTGCTGTCTATTTCAATAATAGCAAAATAGTACTTGCATGCAACATGACCTTTACTAACAAATTAAAATGTATAACCTGGGGGCTGGCTTATATTCTCTCCTTCTCTGCCAATGAATAGAAATGGTCTTTGGCCATCAAACTCATTTTGGAGCATATCTGTTTGTTTCTTCATTTGCTTTTCCTTCTCTCTTTCCCTTAACTCTTGGCTCTTAAATCATGCTGGTGGATTTTATCATTATCACCACCACCCTCATTTTATCTATTGGGTACTTACTGTGAACCGTAAGTGTATTTTGCATATTTTAATACATTCAATTGTTTAGAATATTCCTATAAGATTATTTTTGTTCATTTCATTTAAAAAATAAGAATAAAATGCATCAAGGAGATTAAGAGATTTGTCCATTTGTCACATGGCTAGTGAGAACAGGATGAGCAACAGGGGGTGTTTGGTCCCCAAACCCTGTATACTTAATCAAATACTGCAATGCTTCCTAACCTGTGGTTTGAAGCTGTAGGTGATTAAACAGCAAAACAAGCACTCTGTGTATTTTAAAAGCATCGTTACATGAGATGCTCGATGCAGAGTGTTGTATCATTGACTTCACACTTTTTGTGCCAGAACATCTGAATGATCTAGCCCAGCCCTGTGGCTTCCTGGAACAGGAATCTTCAACTCCACTTAGGGCAGGATTGCCAGGTCAAAGCCTGGATTGGTTGGCAATCCAGATGTAGAAACTAGGTGTTGTGGCCCTGCTGAAAGAATCTCCTTTAGGGATGAGCAGCATAGAGTTTTGGGGGAGATTATTTGTGATTAATAGTAATATTTTAAAACTTGCTGAAAATAAGACTGATGGATCAGTCTCTGTTCCTATCTTGTTTTGACGTATTATAGCAGTTTTTCTGAAAACAATCCTCATGCTATCCCCTAACTTAAAACTATCAATTGTTCCTTATTACCTCCAGGATAAATTTTGGGGGAAATACTGGGGATTGAATTCAGGGGCATTCAAGTCACTGAGCCACATTCCCAGCCCTATTTAAAACATTTTTAAATTTTGAGACATGCTTAGTTGCTGAGGGCCTCACTAAGTTACTGGCCTTAAACTTGTGATCCTCCTGCCTCAGCCTCCTGAGATGCTGGGATTACAGGTATGTGCCACTGCACCTGGCCCTCCAGGATGATATTTTAATACATTAATGTCTTTTGAAAACTTGGACTTAGATTATTACATTCAAATATCATGATTTCTGTAGTCTCAGGAGCTCCATATCACAGGCTGCTGCTGCTTCTGCTTGTCCTGTAGTATCTGTGTCCTCTCTCAGGAAAATCCTCACATGGTCTCCTTCATTGAGCTCAAATACAGAGAATGTTCTATTCTATTTTAATTGCATACTCATACCCTTACCTTTCTACCAACTATGAACTCCTCAGAAAACCAACTTTTATTCTTTATGACCTTGGATATAGTGGGTACTAAACTACTATGTCCACACATAAAATGGAACACTGCAGACTAAATATCTGCTGAATAAGTGAAGTCATTTCGTGGGGTTTTCATTTGTGGAGAGAAGGACACAGCTGTGGAGGAGGTGCTTAGAATTATCCCAAGAGCTGGAGAGGACTCAAGGAGCATCCATTCAGGTGGGTCCTGGGTGATCTCTCCGCATCAGAGCAATTTCAGCAGTGTTCAATTCTCTACCATCTCTGGAGCTCAGCTGCTTTGAGCATTTACAAACAGCCCACTCAAATACTCTGGCAGAGATAAAGAATACATACTGTTAACCCAGTTCACAGTTTTTGAAATATTCTTGGGTATAAAGAATCTGAAGTCTGCTATTTCATGCYTGATTTAATGTAAAATAGGATCAACTAAGTTAAACCAACATCAACTTCAATCTATGTAATCTGGAATTAAGAATAATAAACTTATTCATTGATGTATACAACTATTATGTCACTTTAAGGGGTTTTATTGTGTGTTGACTAATGTGAAATTTGAACTTTAAAAAATATTTTCAGTGGTAGAGCATTTGCCTAGCACCTGTGAGGCCTGGGTCTCAATCCCTAGTAAAAAAAAAAAAAAAAAAAAAAAAAAAAAAAAAAAAAAAAAAAGGAGAAGGAGAGGAAGGAGGAAGAAGAAAGAAGAAAAGAAAGAAGAAGTAGTAGTAGTTGGGGTGGGGACAGTTAAGCAGTTTCTCTTTCTGGCATATTTAGTTGCTATTATCTCCTTTAGTTCATTTTTGCTAGATTCTTTTAAAGAATTTTGAATTTTAAATTCTTTTAAAGAATTTTAAAGAATTGTTTATTTATTCATCCCATTTACTGTTGCAAAATGTTAAAGCCCTGGTTACATCTTTTCATTATAAAGGCTTCTACTGAGCTTTTCCAAGCCAGTTTCCTTTAATATTGAAAAGTAGTAAAGGGAAAAATGAATCTGGAGTAGCCAGAAGAATACACAGATTCATTAAAATGGATCCTCTTGACTCACAGACACTTGATCATCTCATGAAAACACAAGAAGACGTGCAGCAAGCTCAAGACTCTGAACTTGCAGAACCCAGGCTAAGAAGTCTGTATTTTAGAGAGAATTTTTAAAAAAATTTCAACGGCATACTAGGATTTTTTTTTTTTTTTTTTTTGTATTACAGTTGAACAGATCATTGGGGTGTTTGTGATAGAGGAAATAAAAGACAAAAACAGGTCAGGAAGCATGAAGTGTGCCAGCACAAATCCCTTCAGGAGACCTTCTGGTGAGCCAACCAAACGCACTCTAACATGAGACGTGTTTGTGAAGTGGCACACGCAGGTCTTGAAGCAGGACACGGTGACGCAGAGGCAGCTGCTTCACTGGGTTTTCATCAAGTCAGAGAAAGCAGAGCCCATAGCATGGACCAGAGTGAAGACTTCCTTCTAGAGATTCCCACWACACAGCTGTGGAGAGTCAAGGTTGATAGCAATGGAGTCATACCCCCTGCCCAGTGCTGTCCCAAGCAGTCACCAGCTAGCTGTGCTGGAGTGTCCCAAGCCCAGCAGCCCCTGCACCCTCCACTTGGGAACTCAGCCTTTGCATGCTCCTTCTTAGCTCCTCCTCATCACATCACCCGGGCCCTGTTGTTTTCATGAAAGGAGCTTCAAATGCGAATGTCTCCTCTGCAAACTGCAAACACAACCTGCTTCTGTAAGCACTAGTTTCCCTTCACTCAAAGAAGCATCGTAGTTAACACTTCAGCACGTATTTCAGTTTAGATAGACATCAAAGGCTAATTTTATAATTTGAAAGTGAAATCACGTGTTGGAAAGTGCTTATAAGCTCRGGACATCATACATTTAAGGTCTTCTCATTACTGTTGTCCTGAAATTACCTACAAGAACTGAGTCCATTTGCTGTATGCGTTTATGTCTAAAATCTCAAGAGCAAATTGCATAGGAAGATTCTAATGTTTGAAAACAAATGGTCACATACAGCTGTTCTTCAGAATATGAAGCACACAGTGCCTTAGTGTGATGTCTGATTTTGTAAAGCAGCATATTATGGGCTGGGGCTGGGCTCAGTGGTAGAGCACTCACCTAGTGTACATGAGGCACTAGGTTCTATCCTCAGCACCACATAAATATAAAAAATAAAGATATTCTGTCCACCTAAAACTAAAAAATAAATATTTTTAAAAAGAAGCATACTTTAATAATTTCAAGTTTGTAATGTGTTTTATCAGTCAATAAGTATAGGTTAAGTGAAATAAAATCAGTTTATCATAGGAATATTGACCATTGATTTAAAAAATCATTAAAAATTGATGAACCCACAAATTGAATATATCATAATCATCTCAGCCTTTTTTAGTTTGAATAAAAACTTTTACTGGAAAAAAGTGCTTAAAATTCTCAGAGGAAGAAACTATTCTGAAAAKTTTTATGAAATTTTATAGCTAGAAGAATATCTCTGAGAACAGAATGGAATTACAGTGCTCTGTGCTCAGTCGGGGTGAGGATGTATCTCTTCCTGTCTCCCCAGGGGAACAGAAGTTGCTGGTAGTTGTGGAATCTCTGCTGGCTTGTGTGTCATGTGGATGTGTTGATGCCTGTAAAGAGTTTATAATGTGTGAATAAATGTTAGGTTAGTTGTGGCACATTTTCTTTTAATAAAAGTTGATTGCTACTTATTTGTGACAACATGCAGTGCACATGCTTATAGATACCTTTTGAAGTGCATGAGTTCCAGTGTGATATAAACCTTAAGTTCTGAAATTACCTTAAGAGAAAAAAACTTCAACCTAAATATTCTACATTTTCTAGTCCTAATAACTACCAGAAATATACAAAAACTAAATATATTTAAGTCCCTGGGGTTTTGTGATAGTGAATGATGGATATCTCTACAGTTAAAATAGTTCTTTAAGTGGAAGCTTCTCTGGGGCATGTGGAGAGTCCAAACMGCGTCCCCACAGCAGTCCTGTCAGACTCTCCTTTTGTTCCCAAAGTTGTCATTGGTGTGCCAAGTGTCATCACTGACTGCTGTTTCAAACAGCTGCAGGTGTCTGGGCCGGAGCTTTGTGCTCACTGTGGTGTTCATTTGTGTTTCTCTGCAGTTGGAAGGGCACAATATCTTCTCCACCCTGAGCTCCAGTGAGTACGAGCAGGTGCTGGAGATCATCCGCAAAGCCATCATCGCCACTGACCTTGCCCTTTACTTTGGGAACAGGAAACAGTTGGAAGAAATGTACCAGACTGGATCTCTAAATCTCCATAATCAGTCGCATAGGTAAAAATGATTTTACAAAGTTTAGAAGCCCAGGAAGTATTATCTGGAATTAATTGATATTTAAGAAATGTAATTTGGCATAAGTTTTTATTTGACAGAAGAAATGTAAGATGATTTGCTTTTCTGTTTCATGTGTATATTGTTAAATGTTTATTTTGGATATTTCCCTCTTTTTGGCAGGRGCAAAATTTCTGATAATGTACTGGTAGGATAATTAAAATGGAGATGAAAACTAGCCTCTCCAAAGCAGGTGCCTTTAAAGGGAAAGGTTTTGCCCTGAGTTCACCAGAGCATGGGGTTTGGTCAAAACCTCYTAGACCCCAAAGTACATGAAAATGGATTCACTTTTCAGAATCCAGATCTTATCCAGGAAGCTAATGTGATTAATATATAAAACTGGAATTTCATTTTGTTGATCTTCAAACATGTTGAAGCACAAGGACAAAAATATTGGCATTTTTTGTGATCAGAATGTTTAGGAAGCCAAGTAGCAATCATAAGTTTGTTGATGAACATGGAATCAGAACAAGTAAAATTAGATTCATTGTATCTTCTAATGGCATTGGGCTAAAATAGTCTGATGCTTTTTTGTCTGAGGACCAGCATCTTGCCTAGRGGATTCAGAACCATGTCAGATATGTTCTTCACGAATTGGCCACTGATCTGTTGCTTATCTGCCTCGCCCGGGGCAGTTCATTGGTGGTTGCCACCAGCTTTTACTGCTGTTACTTCCCTGTGGTGTTTCCAGGTCTGAGCAGTCCATCTCCAGYGATGCCAGCTCTGTTGTTAAGTTTATGAACATTGTTTATTGGCTTGGTGCCAGTCTGCTCTCTTAATTCTCTCTGTGATTCATTCTTTCCAGAGCACAGTTTCTTTTTTTTCAAATTCTTGGAAGAAATTTATTCATGCACCCCAAATGCAGCACATTAGTTTTTATAAATGGACATAAATATCTAATATAGTTTACCACTTCAAGAATAAATATCATTTTATAGATGCCTTTGATTAAGCAACAATTATTTGTGATTCTCTTTACCTTTGAACAGACATATCCAAATTTTTTAGAACTTCAAGCTTATACAACTTGGGGATTTTTTAAAAGAGAAATACAAGACATTTTGTTTTCACATGTAGCATATTTCATATTTTCACATATAACAGGGCCCCTCCCAGGATCATTCAAGGGGTCAGTGCTAGGGAAGGGCCTAGATGGTGTTCTGGCACATCCTCCTCCGCCTTCCCCTTGTGAGATATGTGCTGTTACTTCTTCTATCCATCAGGTTATGTGTAGTTCTTGTACTGACATCTGCAGAAACAGGTGTTTGTTCACAGTTCTCTCTCTTTTTTTTTTTTTTTTTGATGACAGTTATAAGTTTAGGAAAATATAGCCTTCGTAAAGTATTGTTATGGCTTCCTGAAACCCAAATGCTTTCTTTTATTCCTTGAACCATATTATTTTTAGCTGAATTATTGTAATAATTATAATTGTCATTATAGAATAGAATTCTTAAGCATGTAATTGTAAAAATATTATTTGGGGCTTAAGGCATAYATATTTGGTGTTACTAAAATATATCATATGATTTTGTGTAACTAAGTAATTTTGACACAGTAATTTTAAAAGCAATTAATGCTTGTTTGTTTTAACAATTTAGAATGTAGAGGTGTTCATGGGAAAAGAAATAATTGAGCTATTTCACTTTCCAATACCAGTTATTTTCTGTAGTACCATCCGTGCACCTTTCTGTGTTTTCAAAGGTGTGTTTATACAGTATATACAGTGCATACATGCCCATGTGCTTTTTCTCTTTCCATTTTTTTAAAACAAAAAATGTAATTATACTGTATTCATCCCTTTTAAAATTGTGTAACAATATGTATGGAGTACTATATCAAATATTTTTCCATATTGATGGCCAGTGTTTCTAGAATTTTGCATTATACATTAATGCTGCAGAAACTCTGGCTTGTGTAGTCTTTCCTACTGATTCTTTAAAAAGTATGCAACATATATTGCTAGAAATTTATGGGCAAATTAAGTTTCTTTTCATATTTAGTTTTCTAAAAAAATTCACAACCCTTCAAACATAAGGGTGAAAACATTTCTCAATAAACATGCCATTCTTATTGCTTCCTGTGATGAACATATTGTCATGTTTGTTTGTGATTTATTACTCAGACTTCTGTGTATCTGTTCATAATGTTTAGTTATTTTTTGATGAGTTGTTCACTTTCAATAGATAATTTTACATTCTTCATTTTTTTTGCTGAGGATATTAATATTTTCTGTGATATAATGCAAATATTTTCTTAAGGTGATTTTCAAAAATTTTATTTAGATTTTCTTTCTTCTTCTTTTGTTGTGGTGTTGGGGATCAGACCGAAGAGCCTTGTGCATGCTGGGCAAGTGCTCTACCACTGAGTTGTATTAGTTTCATGAAGCCAAATATGTCATCATTTGTTTTGATTAAATCTCACATTAATATAAAAAGTGTATAAACTTTTCTTTGTGTATTTTTCTAGTTTAAAATTTTATATTTACATTTTAATTCTTCARGAGTTGTATTTTTATGAAAATAATTTATCCTTGATAGTTGAAATATCAGTATCATTTAATGAATAATTGTTTCATTAAATTGAATATATTAAGTTTTTTACAAACATGGATCGTTTTTTGACTCCTTAGCTATTTATTGCTAATTATCTGATCCTTAAATACAATTGCTCTGTTTTGATAACTGTTACTATGTCAAAATTTATATTATATACCCAGTAAAATAATCCTAACCTTGCATTTACTTTGGAAAAAAGAATTAATGGACGTTGTTACTTAGGAAATTTACTTAATGAGTGTTTTTTACAGTAATTTTCAAATGTATTATACATCAGTTTTCAAAGATGTTTTCACTGGATTTAGAATTCTAAGTCTGCAGATTTCCTTTTCTTCAGCATTTATAAAATGTTCAGTGTTCTTCTGTCTTCATCTTTTTGGTTTTTCCTGATGAGACATCGGAGGTCATTCTTATTGTTATTCTCCTATGTACAGTGTGCCATTTTACTCTGGATGCTTTTTGTTTTTAGATGGAAGTGTTTAGTTCTCAGATTTTTCTTTGGCCTATCATTGTATCCAAATATGCATTTTCTTAAAGATTCTTAAACATACCTGTGAGTTATTTAGAAATCCTTGCCTACTTTCCATAATCTGAGTTCTTTGTAAGTTCATCTTTATATCTCATTTCCCTCTGGACCATTTCCTGTCTTTTTGCATGTATAGTCACTTATTTGTGTACTACACTGTGGATGATATGTTCAGTTATCTTACTAGATTCTGTTATCTTTCTCTGAAGATAATTAACTTCTATCCTAGTAGTCAATTAACTATCCTTAAATCACTCTGAATTTATTAATGAGTTACTTGAAGCTTTATTTGAGTGGTTCTCTTCCTGATCTAGCTACATCTTCCTGTCAAGGATTGGAGAGGTCAGGTGTTTGAGGGGAATGTGAATGCCGATTTGGAGGCTTCTGCCTTTGTGGCTCCTTCTCCTTTCTTGAATTCTCTCAACTTTTGTGTGCTCTGGTGGCCCCAACTCTGCTGTGGGCAATGTACCCCATGTTCTTAGGACAAGACTGTGTGAGTATGGCCCTCACACAGTCATGTCATCGGTGGAAACTGACCTCTGCCTTCAGTTAGGTATGTCATAGTGCTTTCACATAGTCACCTTCTTTTAGAATTGTCCACAGGCTTTCATTGTTTTTTTAACAGAATTCTAAATCTTTGTTTTGTGCCTAGCCATTTATTATGTTTTCTTAATCAGTTGAAGATTTATTTTACTCTATTGGTCTAAGGTACAAATATAAATACAATTAATTTTTTTACATATTTTGCTTCCTCGTCATACTGGTTAGCTGGAACCTAGTAAACAATATTGGATGGTGGTGAAGAAAGCCATATCTAAAATGTACTTGATTTTAGTAGCAATTATTTTAGAATTTTAAATTTAGTAAAATATTTGATCTATCTTAGTAAAGTAACCACATCTAATATGTGCAAAATTTTAATAGCAATTATTTTATTATTTTAATTTTGATAATAACATTTGATATATTTTAATAAATCATTTTTATTTTTTCTGTTCTTGGTTTAAATTATTTTTTATTAAAAACTTGTAGATATAGAGATTTTCACTACTTTCTCGTGTTTAGTGTTACTGATTCCATATTTTATTGATAGATGTTTATATTTTATAATTTTGCGCTACTGCTAAATTCCTTGAACTCTATACTTTTCCATGGAATTCATCTTTTAATACACCAAGGTAATACATTTTCTATCTTTTCTAATAAATTTGTATCTAATTCATAATTTAAATATGTTTGTTGTATTTTACACTAATTCAATTTATTCCTAGTTATTGAATTTGCTCTGATCTGGAGGAGTAAAAATAACTAAGGTTAACAATTTTGAGAAAGTTCAGTAGTGTGAATTTGCGAAACTACTATAGTCTGCCACCTTTCCCAGTGGAGGACATTAACAGACGTTCAAATGTCTTGCGGTCAAGGGGATTTCTGTTTTTGTTTTGTTTTGATTTTTGTTTTGTTTTGTTGTCACTTTATCCCACTTTTGGGGCAGTTTATTTTTATAGAAAGTCATCTTGCTCTTTCCAAATTCTTACTAAAGTATTTGTAAAAAGTGTTCTCATTTAAATTTAATCCTACTGCATTCATAGTTACTTTAATTTTCAGTGCTTCCTTCCTTTGTTTCTGTAATCATACTTGCCTGGGATATTTYTATTTTAATTATTCTGTTTTTAAACTAGTTTTTATAAAATTCATCATTTCTTGCTTGTTTGCCCCTTCATTAATTTTAAACTTCATCTTTATGCCTTTTTTATACTCAGTTGTCCTTTTCCGTGTTTTTTAAATTGGATAATAACAAAATGATCATGTGTTGTCATTGGTGAACTAATTGCATCATACTTGCAGGTGTTTGGTGAAGTACT